GGTTTTTACTATAAAGATATATATAATTAGATATCGTATAAAATTAATAAAATTATTTTTTAATTCTAACCTCTTTTGGACCTTCTATTTTCTTTATTATATTCTAAACTATTATTAGATTCTTGTGCTTCGTTAAGAATACTATTAGCCTCTGTATTCACAGATTCATAAATTTCATTAATATTATTATCGTTATCGTTATTAGTTTCAGAATTATCATCAGTTTCTTGTATTTCATTAATAAAATCTTGATTTTGTATTTCCTGATCATGAACTTGATCTTGTATATTATCAGTTTGATCTTGAGTATCAATTTCTATATCTTGTGTATCATCTATTTATATATATTATTATATATTTATAATATTAAATTAACATTAATAATAAAGAAAAAAATAAATAAAGGAAACTACTATTTCCACTATATTAATTTGCTATTTCTACCATACGGCCAGAATTAGAATTAGCGTTAGGGTGAATTACATTTTGTAATATTAGTTATTATTGTTATTTTATATGATTATCATAGTGGAAATAGCAAATTAACATGGTGGAAATAGTAGATCCCTAAATAAATAAATATTACCAAAATTAATTTCTTCTTGCAAATATTTTCTTGGTCGCTTTTGTGTTGCATATAATAATCATTTGGGTTTATGTCTTATATAATCAACTTTAAAAAATTGAAATACCAATATATATAAAATTACAAAAATATTATTACTACAATACAATTATTATAAAAATTATACCTTTTGAGTTTATTGTTTGCTGAAGCATTTCATAATAAACCCAATCATTAGCTGTATTAGAAAATTCTGGAAATTCATTAGAGGCCTCTCTGAACCATGCTTTTTGAACTTCATTTGGAATATATTTGATACTGATTTTTTTTGAATAGATACTATTTTGCTTTAAATCACGAAGAAATTTCTATTATAAAAAAAGATTTTAAATTTTTTAATAGTATTATTAAATTAGAAATATTTTATTTATAAAC